ACGGCCTGGTGAGTATCATTAAACAGTCGGAGTCCCCAGAGGAGTTCGAATCTGGTTGGGCTGATGTGATGGAAACTACTGATCTTGGTGATAATGAGTGTGGCTTGCCAACATGTATGAAATACGAAGTCGTTGGGTGCCTGCGTACGTGAAGCATATATTCTTTGCCGGGATGTCAAACAGTCAACGGTCAGAAAGCAACCATGCGTTCTTCAAAAGATATGTCAATAAGACGGATACATTGATGGATTTTATCACACAATTTCGCAGTGCTCTGGCTCACCAGCGACATAGCAAATTGGTTGCCAACCACACTGACTTGAACGAGGTGCCTCGTACGATAACAACATTTGCCATGGAAACTCAAATGACATTTATTTATACAAAGACAAATTTCCTGTTGTTCCAAGAGGAATTAGCTCAGAGTAGCTACTACGTTTTCTCAAGGAAATCAGCATACGAGGGTGTCAAAACGTATATTGTAATGTGTTTTGATACTGGAAAAAAATATCATCGCCAACGTGAGCTGACCTACTTCAGGGCCATTGACTTCATAGCATGCACCTGCAAAACATTTGAGTTTGAAGGATATCCATGTCGTCACATGCTCGCATATATGCTTAGGAAACATGTGATGTTGTTACCAAATCAGTACATTGTAGGTCGGTGGACGCAAAATACAAAAGCAACTCCAGTCTTCGAACCAACAGCAACCTCAATAGGTGGTCAATCATTGATTTCTTGACATGGGATGCTGGCAAACACGGCAACAAAGTTGGTGGAAGAAGGTGCTTTGATTGAAACTCGTACGACATTAAAAATGGAAGGATTTCAGAACTTGAAAATACAGGTAAAAGCTATGGATAATGGAGGAGATGTGGGAATGAGTAGGGTTATCAGCAAGTGCAGCGAAGGTGCTCAACTCGTGATTGATCCTACTCCGGTTAGGACAAAAGGGTGCTGGAAGAGATTGAAGTCATCCAAAGAAATAGCCATGTCTCAATCGAAGAAAAATTGTCGTGTTTGTGGTCACAGTGGACATGACAAAAGAACTTGTCCGACATTACAGTCGAGGTTAGTTGATCGATAACTGTT